CCAATCGTATGCCAGACACATTTAAGCAAATTGAGTCGCTTAGCACATTTGTGCGAGACCTAGGTGATATGACGCGTCCAATTTAATCCAGAATCAAAGATAACTCCAAGAAATTTGTAGTGAGTGACAAAGACTAGTTAATGGTTATTAAGACTTAATTTCAGTGCTTGACAAAAGAGAAAACGGTAGAACTTCAGACTTTAGGGCTGAAACCGTAAAGCCCCATTTAAAAAAAACAATCGGCTAAATTGTCCAGATTTATTTGAAGAGAGCTCTGAATGTAATTAATATTACGACCAGTTTTCCAGAGGGCTAGATCATCAGCAAAAATACTATAATTCGTACCATTATTAATGAAGGAAGACAGTTAGGTCATTAATCATTAGAAGGAATAGAATAGGGCTAATAACACTACCCTGGGGAGTGCCATTTTCCGAGACTCTTTCCTTAGAGACAGCTCCATTGACTCTGATCTTAAAGGTTCGGTTTGAAAGAAAGTCTTTAATCCAGTTAAATAGTTGGCCATCAAAACCATAACTATTGAGTTTATATTAAACCTTCTTTCCAGACCATATCGTATGCTCGTTCAATATCCAAGAGTACAGACACTGCCTTACCTCTGTTACATAATGATTTGTTAACATCTTCATGTAGCCGTATCAAATGATCAAGCGAAGACTTCTTCCAACGGAAACCAGACTGAAACTGGTCGAAAAGATTGTTTTTCATAATACCAATTCAAACGGTATGCAATCATTCATTCCATAATTTTACTCATAGTAGAAATAAAAGCAATTGGTCGATACGATGCAACAGAACTTCGATCCTTGTCTGGCTTAGGGATTGGACAAACTATGGCGTGTTTCCATCCTGAAGGGAGGGTACCTTCATTCCATACCTTATTGAAAAATTCAAGCAGCTTTACCAAAACTGAGCGACAGATTTTTATACATTTTATAAGGAATTTGATCGTCACCAAGGGTCGAGTTTTTAGTAGTCTTTATTGCTCAGTTAAGTTCACCGATCGTGAATTGAGCATTCAACCCATTACTATTGTTTGGCTTCTTTGTAATGGTGGCATAGTGTTCATGTTCAAACAATTTTCTATGCGTTAAAAATTCGGGAGAATGATTATCGGAACTGCTGACGTGGGCAAATTGATCAGATGGCACATTTGCCTTTTCAACATCCGTCAAATATGTTGATCCAAGAGATTTAAGCGTAGGAATACAGATAGAACCCCCACCTTTCATTCGCTTTACGAATTTCTATAGTTTACTTGCATTTGAAGAACAGTTGAAACTAGAGCAGTAATTACGTCAGAAACGTTGTTGGCGTTCTCGAATTGTACGTTGACAAATGGCCTTCTGCTTTTTATACTCGATATAATCGTCTAAGAGACGTGTTTTAAGAGCTTTCTTCCTACTCTTGTGTTTTTGTTTAACTGCTTTTTCACATTCCATATTCCAATAAGGGGTTTGTTGTTTCCCACAGTCTGATTGATAGTGGAATAAATTTCTCTGCTTCTTCCAGAATAATAGTTACTAGACGAGAATGTACAGATTCAACAGAAGACATTTCTATGTTTTGAACGGAAGAATCAAGGAACGTATGGAAGTTAGGCCAGTTTGCTTTAGTAAAGTTCCAGAAGGTCGTTGTACTCCTAACTTCAAGAGGGATCTTAAGAGATGTAATGACCGAGAGATGATCACTTCCCAGGTCATCATCCAGAACATCCCAGGTAGCAAGTTTACTGTCCATAATAGTGAGATCTAGAGGAGAGAAATTATCCCGAACCAGACATGTCCCACATCCGTCGTTTAAAACCACTTTATCAGATTCCATAACTAGATCACCGAGAATCTGACCTGGATAACCAGTTTTTGTTCCACCCCCATAACGGGTTGTGAGCATTGAAATCTCCACAAAGTATACTATTAGGAAGAAAAAAAACTCTCGATACTCAACCGAATCTATGGCAACACCAGGGTTATAAATGTTAAATATCGTGACACTTCCCATAGAAGTCTGACACTGAATCCCAACATCTTCTATATTTTCTGGGCAAGTAACGGTAGTAAAGAGCAAGTGATTCTTGACAAGGGTTAGTACCCCTCCCTTTGCTGAGTGTTCTCGATCTTTTCGTACAGGTGTATGCAGAATTTAATATGGGGTTTGAGAAATGATTCCTGAATACAGATAATATCGGGATTTATGCAGAGAGTTTCAATGTATCGTATAAGGAATGGAGCATGAGCCTTAATGCCCCTAGTATTCCACTGTAATATTTGTAAAGGGCCCATTGTTTATTTGTAGGGGTACTTACTTGGTACAGTTCATAAATTGAGTCGGGATTAATATCATAACCAAAAATGGTACTTGCCAATTCGGTTATGAAAGATATCCTCGTTTTTCTGAAGTTTTTTGTCAAAAGGACTGGTCCTGAGCGATCGAAATGATTTTGGCTACAAAAGTAACGATTTGTTCAAACAGTTGAGGTGACATACGACTACTGTTTGAAGCACTAACCTGTTGAGAGGTGTTGTCATTACTTTTGTCAGAAGATCGAGGTTTCTGTGGTTCCTTATGCTGGGGATTTGTTTCCACACGCTGTCTTTTCTGTGCTACATGCTGAACTGCTTGTGCGTAATTCAATTTTGATTGTACTCTGACAATCTTTGAATTTCCTTGGCCTCCTGGAATTTTTTTTACAGCCCTTGTATGCTGCCGAATGTTCACCCCCACATAAAGAACACACTGGAGTCTGCTTAGTGCAATCCTTGACATTATGACTATCGCCACAAGTAGCACGACGAACATTACCGCGGCACACGTTCGCTGTATGATCGTAACGTTGGCACTTATAGCACCTTGTCGGGTGGGGGATAAATTTCTGTATAGGAAACGACAAAAAGCCGAGTTGGACTCTCTGAGGGAGGGTCTTAAATGAAAACTGAAGTATCATGGAACCTATAGGTTCTTTAAGTTTTAGTTCCTTGTTGTATCTAGTCATCCTAGTTGCCTTTATAACCCCCTCTATAGTTGTACAGTTCTCCTCGGTAATGTCGAGGTGGATTTCATGAATGATGCCCCTAACAGAAGGTGTGTGTGTGTGGTGGGGGTACTCTTGAATCTGGGGTCGTATTTTATATCCACAGATGGCTTTTGTGCTAGACAGTAGTCTTAATTGTGAATAGGAACAAACGATCTTTAGACGATCCATTTGAAGTTGGATTTTGTCAGTGGACCCAATGATATAATTAAGGGCTCTACTTAAGAGCAGTGGATTGACCTTCGCAATATTGACGTCCGGCGATGTTACAAAAACTATTTGTTTTCTATCTGGAGTCTACTTTTTGTGGCCGATGGATTAGACACTTGATCCTGAATCGGATCTCACTCGTTTGCCGGCACAATCTCTATCAAATTCCATGTCGTGCGACACGCTAACTGGGCCAGAAGTGGCCGACCCATTCACCCATTATCGAGGGTCGTCCACGTCCTTCCCTCCTCTCTCAGTATGACTGCTAGCCCGTTCACTTTTTCGTGGTATTGTTCACTCAAAATCTCAATCACCTCCGCAATACCTTATCGATTCGGATTGAATTCCGAAGTGGTGACAATATCATCTGAATGAAGTGCTTATATACGGTATCAAAATAGAGGGCACATTGACGCAGGTGGAGAGTGTCACGAGACAGATATCGCTAAGGGCAATTAAGTGGAGAATAAAAGACTGGAGCAAGTGAGAAACAGATCAGACCAACACTTATGTGGGCAAAGGAAGAAACCCTAGTAGTCGAGTAATAGCTGTAGCGTTAGAGGAGGTAAGTATTACTGGAAATACATCCTCGAAATGTTAACTTTTTGTTCTTCATAAAGTTATTTTATCTATATGTTTGAGCACAGAACTATGCTAAAAATTTACTATTAGACTACTATAGGAATGAATGAAAATTAGGTTTGTTAATTAATATAAAATCATTTCTGACCTGCCATGAAGGAATTTAGAAAGTATAGAATGTATTGAAGTGATATAAGTGTTGGAGGTATCCCACACTACAAAACTTTAAAATTCAGAAAACAGCTAAAATGGGATAGTAAAAATATATCACTTAATAACAATATTTCATCACTGTTAATGTGTGTTCACCATTTACAACAGAATTTTTTTGTTTCGGTGAAATCAGAATATTTTGCATTTGCCTTTATTGCTGATGAAAAATTTGAAGAAATTATTACAGCAAAGATTGAACATTTATTATTCAAATTCACAGACTGTAAATTTGAATAATTATTGTATACAACCATAGACTATGTCAACATCAGTACCATACCAGACAAACTAGGAGAGACAAACAATAATAAATATTTAGTGTTTAAAGCTCTGACTTTGTGTGCTAAACAATACTTCCTAAAATGGAATTGAACGAAATTTAGAGGTATACTAAATCAGACCCAACAATTCAGTTCTGCTAATCACAGCTTCATTTGTATCATACTTGAGTTGTACCACTATTTATGTAAAAATGAAATTACAAAATACTGTAATTTAATTTTTTTGTAGATATATTTTTTGATTGTTACCAATTACTTGAAACACACAAGTATAGTTTTTTCCCAGTGTTCTAGAATTGGCACTGCCCATGACAACTGCGCGTGTGTGTGCACAACAAATATGATAGATTTTTTTAATTTTCTTTCAGCCTCCACCTTGTGTATACCTAATACTCCCACCCAATGTACATGATCAATGCATTCTTGCCATATAGAAAATAAGCAAACATCTTTGGTCAGGTACTTTACTGTACCTGTGCTGACATCATTAACTGTAGTGTTATTTTTATTTAGAAATTGTACCTTTCTCTATGCTACTTTTAGTTACTGAACTCATTTTGACTATTGCTAATTTTCTGTAAGTATACATTATGGATGCTGGCTTTCAAAAGTCAAATCTGAACCTTATTACATTAAGCAGAATTTGTCATCAAGATCCACCTGGGCATCAATTAATTTTTTCACCCACAAGTACTTATTTCTATCTTGCCCAATGCCTGTACTTGTGCTGTAGCATGATAAAATTCCTATCGAAAACATGAGTTACATGTCAAAATTTCTATATATACCCCTTTAGGTTTATCTTTTCTAGGAGTTTAGTTATTAACCAAAAACGAAACATAAAATATGTTAACAAAATGTTGATGCTGGTGTAAAATAATTTCAATTGAGTACTTAACAGCATAAAATGATACAGTTTTTAACACATGACCTAGAAGCCCAAAAATAAGGATTTTGACTGATAAATAAGTATTTGAGGTTGCCTTATAATGTTTTTTATTATTATTATTGTTTCTTACACGGTGCAGTTCATAATTTGTGTTATTTGCTTCAGTACTTCCACCAGCTAAGACAGAACATTGTCCAAACCCAACCACTAGACAAACAGGCACCCTTGGTTCAGTGTTTTTGATAATCTCATGGAAGGAATAAAGAAAATTCCTGACCAAAAACAGATATAGGTTTGTGTTGAAGTTTTTATTGTTAAACACAATATGTTCTTTTAACTACACTTTACACTTGTTTTCATATTAGTAAACACAGCTTGTAAATGACCATTTACACTAAGTCTAACAGGTAATTACATCATTATCTCTGGCTGGCAGCACCCACAACCAACTTCTTTTTTTTTTTTGTTATGTATGTACCATGATTTGAGGAGCATTGTAATAATTGATTAATTTAATGTAATCAGTTAATGGGGCCATTGATTACTAAATACCATGAATCATCCATGATGCATGCATGTACTACTGTAGTGGTTGAGTTTTTGAGACACTGCCATGTTATGACCAGTGTAGAAACAAACTTTTGTTGGTTGGTAATATATTGCACATTAACATTTTAACCAATCAGCATTCGTTCTTTCTCATAAATGTGTTAAGAACTTTTAAACATTCAAACTTTTTAAATCATTCAAACAATTATGAGAATTGTGTGCTTAACAATTTTTAAAAAAAGACCATGAATTGGATAATTTAGAACAGAAACTTAAATTGGAAAATGTGGAAAACAAGAAGTTTAAGATAGAATTTATTAAGTCTTATAAAGAGAAGCACTGTTAATTTGATAAGTTTTCATGCAACAGTGTAAGAGTTGAACTAAAGCAGTGTTTTATTGTCACTTGTAAAGGGAAGCATTTACTTGTCAGTTTGAGCACATTTGATGTGCAAAAGTTTATTAAATTATATATCTGCTGTTATATTAATTTATCAGTAAACAACAAAACACCAAACTATTGAAAGACCATACTTTTTTTCCCACAAATAATCTATGAGCAAGTGAAATATACCAGGTACTTATCCAAACAGACAAGTGAATTCTCTTGTTACTATTGAGGTTTATTATGAACAATTTATTTAAAGAATTCATTTTATAGTAATGTATACAGACTAAACCAGTTGTGGTGAATAATTTTATTTAAATCACTTAAATTTAGCTATCACTTGTACTCTAATGTGATTTGTGTAAATATATACAAATTTCCATACTTTAGTGCATATACACTGGATTAGCCTTTGCACCTGACATTTATTAAAGCCCTGTTACTGTTTTAGACTTGAGGAAGTGTTAATGTACAATTTTAATATTTTATGATTGCATGTGATAGTATAAATCTGATAAGTATTAACATTTTAAATTACCTCATGTAATTTACAATAAAACTAGTGTGCATTTTTAAAAAAAATGGTTTGTATGTTGGAAAAAAATCCAAAACTTTTATTTTTGTTAAAGGTTTACTCAGAATCTGTCAGTGTTCCGCAGAGACATCAATGACTTCGTGAAGGATCCAAATATAGATAGTGCAGCAGTGGGTGATATGATGAACTAATGCACA